CCCCAAAACCCCAAAACCCCGTTAGGCAAAATTATAAGTTATCAAGTATAATACAAAAATCTTAATAATTCATATTATAATACGTAGTTAAAAGTATAATCAAGAGGAATTTTTAAGTAATTTATTTAAAATCATTACTTTTAATTAAGTTTTAATCATGGTTCTATAAAATTCATACATAATTCATTGATCAAAACATATCTTTAAAAGCAACTAGACTAATAAGAGATCCAAAAGCGACTCCTAAGCTTTGAAGTACTGAAATCATAAATCCTCCGTGCTCTTTTTCATGATTTTCAAGTCTGCCACCAAAACTTTAATTGCAGCAAGCTCCTAAAAATCCATGAGTCATGCCTAACAAATAGCAATTAATCACAATGACAGCATTATTGCCCCAAAAGATATTTTAATGGTTAAACGCAATGATAAAGGTTGATGCAATCCATATCAATCTAAGCAAGCCGCCAATTATAATGAATACTCTTCCGTATTGCTTTTTTAATTTGGCTAGAAATCGTCCAGAATAATCTCCAACATTGAATGAAGCATTATAATAAAATATATTCCACACAAAATTTGAAGAAATAGTCATGCCTCCTTGAAATATAATGCCTGGAAATAATAAGTATGTCAGAAGAAAAGTAAAAGAGGCAAAAGTTGTCTCCACCCAAATTTTCTTATATATTGTAATATAATTGACTTTTTAATCATTGGTAATATTTCGTTCTGACAATTAATCAGCTTGTAAGTCCTCTTTAAAATAAACGATCTCATCTTATTAATTAGTATTAACTGCAACTTCTTCTTCTTTAATATCTCTAGTTTCTAGTTTCTAAGGTTAAGTTTCACTTTAAACTTTGTCAAGGAATAAATGCTGCTTTACATGACTTAACTTAAAAAACATCTAATAAAGTTCTTATCAAGAAAATATATCTTACAGGCAAGGTTAGACATAAAATAATCTGGATAACTGCATTCAATGAAAAATAAAGCAGAGTGGAATAAAAGTATGATAATTCGTTGGAAGAATCAAATAAAAGCAAGCAAATCAGCCTTAAAATACACGCAAAGATTGAGCTTAAAGATAATCCTTAAAAATATGAACCCATGTATTAAGGTCCAAGTAATCCACCAATGCCACAAAAAGTAGAAATTATATTTCCCATGAAGGTACCTATATATATTGATTACTAATTATAAATTGCATTGATGATTCTTTACTTACCAATTAATACCATAAAAAGTATAGAGACGTTCCAACTAGCTTTGCTCTCAATGTACTAAACAATAAAAGGCAAGGCAATTTGTAAAATAATAAGTGGAATGAACATAACGATTAGTCGAGGCTTATAGTCAAGTTTTATCAGTAATTTTACCAGAAAAGTTTAGCCTCCAACAAATGAGAAATTTAGAATCATATTATATAAAAATTCTGGATGTCCTCCTATCCCCTAGAAAAATTTACAGGGAAGCAAATACATTATATTTGTAAATAAAGTAGTCCATATTAGAAAACACAGCCATAAGTGGTAAAAGATTACCTAAACCATAGAAATTCATTAAAATTTAAATTTTCTTTGATTCTTTAGCATCTATCTTTGAACTGAATACTTCTGCCTCCTAAATTGAAAATGATTTATCTTTAAATTTATGAAAAATCTATAGTTTAATGACTTTGACGAAAAATAGAAGTATCCCCCAAGTCCAATGATGGCTTTCTCATTATTCTGGATCAACTTTTATTCTACTTACTGTTTGTTCCAATTATTCCATTTGTTTCACCATGATAAAATAAATTTTTTCTATTTTCCCAAGATATTATTTATAATTAATTACGAATGAATCCAATAAGTTATTAATGAAAATATAATTTTTTTTTTGCTTATCCTCCAATTATGTACTGCGGGGTTTTGGGGTTTTGGGGTTTTGGGG